CCAATGCGGTTGGGGCCCACGCAGTACAGTTGTGCCTCCTTCATCCAGGCCTGCGTCCAGATTCAGATAGTGGACCGGTTTCCCATTGGCATTTTTGGCCTCTATTTCCAGTATGCAATGTCGGCCTCACGTTTATGTGCCCAGGGCCTAACCAACTCTGAAGGGCCCTGGTGCTTCTGCATTTGCAGAGATCCGGTACTCGGTGCACTCCAACCAACTGGCGTGCGGCAACTGTGTGGACCCCACTTCGTGAAATGTTTGAACAGAGGGCTCTCGTCGATTTGCTGGCCCGCCTTCACTTAAGGCGGGCACGATGCTTGCTGGGGGCCTTGGCCCAGAACATGTATACCACGGCAAGGCCCCTTTGAGGGCTCAATCCTCACATTCCATCCCCCTTAGCTTCGAAAGTCCGCAGAGATGCTTACTTCGCAGGTGCTTTCCCTTTTAACATTCTCTCATATTCTGCCACCACTTGAGGAGCTGTGTCAATCAGTTCCTCTCTGGTGAACCACCAATCTTCTTTTGGATCCGTATGATGCCTGAATCTGACACGATATTCTCTCTTGGGTTTGGGAGGTCTTCCTCGACCCAGCGGCTTTGGAACAGGCAAGTCTCTGTGATCCACAATGTCGTCGATGTCCACTTGGCCATCCATGGTTGGGGGCAGCATCGATCTTCTTGAAGGGAATTGATTTGTCTCAGCGAAAGGTGCAAGCTTTGAGGCATGAAAGACAAGGTGAGTGCGCAGATGACCAGGGATACGGATAACATACGTAGGACCATCCATCTCATCCCCAACGATGTCCAGAACTTCCCAGGGACCAAAATATTGAGGCATTAGTTTTCGAGAGAAACTGAATTCCTGTCCTAGCTCACTAGCCTTGACCCAGACACGTTCCCCTACCTGAAATGAGGATTGTCGACGATGTTTGTTCTTAGAAGCAATCATTGCTTGCTGAGCTTTCCTGATGTGCTCGACAACTTGCTGTAGCAACTTCTCATACTGCACACCATACTCAAGTGTGCCCGCAGTTGCAGAGGATCGGTTTTCAGGTAGGAGGAAGTCCAGAGTTGATCTATGCTTCCATCCCAAGTGCAGCTGATTAGGACTAACACCGGTACTGTTGTGTACAGCGTTGTTGTACAGGCTGGCGATGAGAGGCAACTTCTCATCCCAGTCATCCCGGCTGGGCTTGATGTAATGCCTCAGCAGGTGTTGTACAACTCTGTTCATCTGCTCGGCCTGTCCGTTGGCTTCGGGATGATTCCCTGAAGTCATCTGAAGTTGATTGCCCATCTGTTCAGCAGTCTTCTTCCACAACTCACTTGTGAAGCGGACATCTCTGTCACTAACGATTGACTTTGGTAGTCCAAAATCACGCACCCAGTTGTCCAAAAACAACTTGATGACGTGTGTTCAGTCCTTGCGGTCTCTGGCATGGCAATTAGTCTAGCGTACTTGGTGAATTGGTCTTTGATGACAAAGATGTGCCTCTTGCCATTCCTACTAGTCACCAGGGTGTCCATGAAGTCCATGGAAACACTCTGTCCCGGACCAGCGGGGATAGGAAAGGGCTTCAACAACCCCAGCGGTGCTTGAGTTCGCGGTTTGTCCCGCTGACAGACTGTCCCGCTGACAAACCTGACATGTCTCCACATACTTCTTTGCATCTTCTAGCATTCCGGGCCACCAAAATCGCTGTACTAGATTGGCACTCGTCTTTTTGTAGCCAAAGTGTCCGGTTGCGTCATGACATTCTCCTAAGAATAAACTACGCAAACGTTCACTAGATGGAACAACTAGTCTTTTAAATCCGGCCTTATCAAGAAAGAGAAGCCCGTCCACCATCACAAACTCATCTTCTGTGGCCTTTTCTTTTGCCTGAAGTTTGCGTATGATGTCCATCATGACAGGGTCTTCCTGATAGGCTCCCACCAGCGATTGAGTTAGTTCTTCAGATACACCAAACTCAGAAACWAGCGCCCYTAGGTAGTCTGCCCTACGTGATAGCGCATCTGCCACCTTGTTGTACTCTCCCTTCAGATACTCTAGCTTGAAGTCATACTGATCTATGACCTCGATCCAGCGCTTGAGTGCATCAGAAAGAGCCGGTTGAGTCTTGATCCATTTAAGGGTCTGATGGTCAGTTCTCAAATAGAAAAACCGTCCCAACAGAAAGTGTCTCCAATGGACAAGTGCTTTGTAGAGAGCATAGAGTTCCCTTTCATAGGTGGACTTTGCCAGTTTCTTCGATGGCATCTTCTTGCTCATATACTCAATTGGTCTCAACTTCTTCCCATCCTGCTGAGCCAGCACTGCACCAATGCCGTATTGGCTTGCGTCAGTGGTTACTATGAATGGCTTCTGTGGATCGGGCACCATGAGAACCTCATGATTCATGAGTGCATGCTTCAATCATTTGAAAGCAGCCTCGCACTCATCACTCCAGTCCCACGGCGTGTCCAATCGAGTTAGATCAGTCAAAGGAGAGGCGACTGTGGAATAGTTCTTCACGAAGTTTCTATAGTAGCCGCACATTCCTAAGAAAGATCTGACCTCAGTAACAGTCCGAGGTCGTGGCCAGTCCTTGATTCTAGCCAACTTCGCATCTTCCGCGGATACTTCATGACCCAAGTATAAGATCTTAGTGCGTCCAAACTCACATTTCTCTAGGTTGACCTTATACTTGTGATGTCGCAGGAGTGAAAGTACAGTCTCAACGTGTTGTGCATGCTCCTCGACAGACTTACTAAAGATCAGAATATCGTCAAGATAGACAACGACAAACTCATCGAAGTGGTGATGGAAGATCCGATTCATGGCGTGCTGGAATGTACCCGGCGCATTGCAAAGGCCAAAGGGCATCACTACAAACTCATACAGACCATATCTGGTCTGAAAAGCAATCTTGTGTTGATCCTCAGGTCTTGCGATCTGATGGTAGCCGGACTTTAAGTCTATCTTGCTATAGTACTTACATCCCTGCACCCTATCCAATAGGTCGTCTATGCGAGGTAGAGGCTCTGCGTTTTTCACTGTGATGGCATGAAGGCCTTTGTAATCAATGCACATCCTCAATGTACCCCCCTTCTTCGGTACAAATAGCACTGGAGATCCGAAGGGGGAAGTACTTGGCCGGATCCATCCCTTTTCTGTCAGCTCTTTCAGTTGTCGCCGAAGTTCATCCAACTCGGCCGGAGCCATCCTATAGATTCTTCCCTTTGGGGTTTTGCTCCCTGGAATGATTTCTATGGCGTGGACAACCTTCCTATCGACGACTCTTGTGGGCTCTATGAACAGATCAGGGAACCTAGCAACGACGTGTTTTATCTCTGGGGTGTTTTAACGACCGCCTCTTTCTCAGAGACATACACTAGGTACACACCCTCCTCTTGGTTCTGTTTATAGTAGTTATAGAATGCTGATGCACACAAGCAGCCATAGGTATCGATTATATTACTGGCTTTGAACTTAGTCAGTCTCACTATTCTTCCATCTGGCAACTTATGCTTTAGCACTTTCTTGTCCCAGTCAAACTGGAGCTTGGCAACCTCAAGGTAGTACATTCCTAACAACATGTCAAATGGTAAGTCGTCGCTAACCAGGAACGAAATCTTATGATCAAGTTCCCCTCCTCCATAGGAGAAGGTACAAATTACATCCTTGATATAGTCTGTGACAACCATGCGCTCCTTATTGGCCAAAGTAGATGCTACTGGTCTACTAAGGTGTTGTACCCGGTCCTTTAGGTGCAGCCTTTCCAAACAGTCGCGACTTATGTAATTTTGTGTGGAGCCGATGTCTATGAAGGCACCACTTTTGCGGTCTCCTACAACAACTTCCACAACAAAATGTTCCCCTCTAGGACCTCTTCTTAGTGCCACCCAAGATTCACGAGGGTCCTCGCTTGACCACTCCCTTTCTAAATCTTCTAAGGCATCAGACACATCCAACGTACAGAGTATAGTTTGGTCTGGATGAGTCTGCAGGGTGACTAAAGAGTCGTTAGCTGCTCATGAAGTGGGGAGGGTATCTGGCCCACTTCACCATGAGTAGAAGCAGCTAAAACTTCCACCGGCCTCACATGTTTCCCGAGCTAGACGCCTGGGAAGAAGGTACCCCAACCTTAGGAGGTATCTTCTGCGTGACCTTTGCGTTCTTGCACTTGTACTGGGTGTGTCCGTATTCACCACAGTTGATGCAAGCACCACGCACTCTACGGTCCCGC